TTTTTTTTTTTTTTTTTTTTTGGCAGAACCGGGGATTGAACTCAGGCCCTTGTGCTTGCCAGGCAAGTGCTTATTCTACTAAGCTATCTCCCCAGCCCCAGGCTATTGTTTACATTACTGTTTTATTTGGATGCAGGCTATACTTCCATAATGTTACATTATTTAGTATGTTAATATTTTACATTGATATGTCATTTTATAGTTTATAAAGTGTTTTCGTATTCTTAGTTTTTCAAACGAGCCTATGAGATGGGGAGGCAGGTACTATATGTTGTTAAGGAAAATCAAAGTATGCAGAGTTGTCCCAGCCAGAGGGTCTGGTAAGCCTGGAACACAGATCCTATGGCACTCAGGGAAGGGGGTTTGGGCAACTGGCCTTTCTCTGGCTACCAACTGGCACCCTGTGTGCAGTGTCAGTGTCCTCTCTAGGAAAGTGCTCCTGTGAGCATGTCCAAGCCTCCTAGATGGAATTATAACTACATATCTAATGTCTAATTTCTAATGCATACTGTGGGAATATTTTGTACTTCTTCTGAGAGGAGGTAAAGACTATGTTTTATATTTAATTTAAAATTTTCAATTTTATTCCTAGGTGCCTTCGAAATACTTGCAAGTTTTTAATTTTGCTCATCCCACTATTACTTTTACTAGGTAAGTAAAATGAGGCTCAGTTGCCATAGATGATTGATACATCTGTACAGGTGACATTCTGAGAATCCAGCACTAGAATGTATTTAGGGAACCGAGTGTGTGCACATAGGTAGCTGTTTTCTCTCCTTCCAGGTGCAGGCCTCTCTCTGTGGGGCCAGAGTGATTTCTTTTCCCTCCTGCCTGTGTTAAACTGGACAGATGTGCGTACAGTAGAGAGGATAGAGGACTCTAAGGACACATTCAGACCTGGGTCTTCTCACCTGCAGGTACTGAGGGCAGACATTCTCACTGGCATCACAAATACACTGTGTAGGACAGGTTTCACATGACTTGTGGACAGGACAGTTCAGTTGGGGGTCTGTTTTAGAGAATATTTTTAAAGGTTAAGCTCCAGTATTCTGAAATAGCCCAAATACTACATAAAGTTTCATTGTTCGTTAGTTTTAATTCAGAGGCTAGCTGCCATTACTTTACAACATAGAGACAGTGTGGAGAAGGAAATGAAGATCACTTTCTAGTCCTGTCACTTGAGGGTGGCCACCAGTGGCAAGGTTCTGTGTGTTTCCAAGTGTGTATATGCCCTACAGCAGCGCCCTGCACCAGGTTTCTCTCGGTGGACTGACTGACTGACTGACTGACTGACAGACAGACACACACTCACTTCCTGATTTCCTCTCAGAATAATGGACAGGCTTCCTGGTGGCTGCAAGAGAATGACATGAGGCAGCAGGTGGCCTCTTTTTCTGCTCAGTGCCACAACCATGAGGAAAAGCTCGGGGAGCTGACAATCTTACTTCAGAAACTGCAAGCACGGGTGGACCAGATGGATGATGGCAGGGAAGGGCTGTCACTGTGGATGAAAGATATGGTTGGACAGCACCTGCAAGGGATGACTGCTGCTGGGCTTGTGGACACCAAGGTAAGGTCCAGGAGTTCCTGGGAGAAATGTGGCCTTTGGTATCCTGTCCTGTGAGTTGCCCCAGCCCACAGTTTAACTTTTGTGAATGCATCAAATGCAATAAACAGAAATGTCACCTGTATACTTTGAGTGATGCTCCCTGCACCATTTTGGTATACGTTTCCCTGCCAGCATTAATTGGGAAAGTTGAGGTCCTGACGAGAGCGTCTCAAGGTCATGAGGTCAGTTATAAGAGCAGCTGCTGTTTCCTGTGGACTTCCTGTGACCAGCTGTGCTTTGCTTGCTACTCATAGGAAGATGAGTTAGTCCATTTCCTCAGCTAGTACTTATTTTATTATGTTTCAAAGAGCTTTAATTTAGATATGTTACATAAAACCTTATTATAGCCCTGTTCACCAGCATGCTTTTCCTTGACAGTTCTGAGGTTGATAGCTGCCCCTCTTATCCTCAGCCTCGAGTGAGCTCTGTGTGGAGGCTGCTTAGCAGCCTGTCTACAGCCTGCCTGTGTACACCCAGCTGGGGGCACTTTGGACATGGGACTTGGCACAGCTTCCTGAGGTCCCCTCATTGCTCACAGAGCTGCTTCCTTGATCTCTGAGCTCTAGCATACTGCATGTAAAACAGGCCTTTTTCTGGCTAGTCCCTCCCTGTGTGATGGCATTGTTCAGGATGTCATTAACACTGGAAAGGGTCCCATGGGGGATTTGCTGCAGTTCTTAGATCCACCTTTGTCACCTTCACCTTAGATAGTGTCAGTGTTTGTCACTCTGTGTAGGTGTTGCTTGTTTAATTTGCTTTCTTACACCTTTCAGGGGCTATAAATAACAGAATGTCTCAGTTCTGGTGTGGTACAAGGCACACAAGTCACTGAATCAAGGGTACCCCAAACTGCCATGCATGCTTATAAGTTTCATTTGCCCAGAGAACCCCTAGATGTTGTGCTTTGATTTCTCTCAGTTGTTGATGTGTAGTTTCTCAAACATAAAGCCAGGAGTGTTTGTGTATGCCTGTAATCCCAGCTCTTGGGAGGCTGAGGCAAGAAGGGTGCAATGAACTATGTATAGTAAGACTCTGTCTCAAAGAAAACAAAACAAAACAACACATAAATTGAGAGGATTTCAGTAAAATTCAACTAACACAGATTGTTTTCTTGGTTTTGGTTTTTGCACTATTGGAACACTACCACTGAGTCTATACTCTCAGCCCTTTTTATTTTTATTTTGAGGTGAAGTCTTGCTAAATTGCCCAGGCTGGCCTCAAATTGAAATCTTCCTGTCTCAGCCCTCCTGTCTCAACTTCCCAAGTAGCTGGGACTACAGGCTTGTACCTCCATGTCTAGCATAGTTAACAGCTCTTGTTCCATTT